CACGCTTGATCACGCATAGTCGACTGGCATTATCACGCTGGGAAATACAGGTAATAAACTGATTCAGAATAACACATTAAATCGGAGAACGGGCATTAATGGTTGCATACACTGTGGTTTCCTTCTAAACAAGTGTTGCAGAGGTACAGGCAATATGTGTGAAATGTCACGAGAGGAGCTCCACTGTTGATAAAGAAATTATTTCACGTGCTGCGATAACTCACCCGCTGTGAGTAAAACAGAAGAAGAAAAAAAAAAAAACGTAGAGGACCAACGGCTCAAATAAAAGACAAATCATGGCAAATATTCATCATAATTGTACATAATCAATGCTGGAAATTAGCGCTCGCCCGCTGCCCAATGCGAGTGTTAAAATCGTTGGGCGAGTCAAAATCATCGATGACTTATCCGCTTATCGAGTTAATAGGCAACATAAGTGTTTCAAAACTAGACAAAATGAAATACGGCTTCCTCCAGTGATAATTAAATAACTGTTACACGTGTACGAAGTTATACTGCTGGTCTGTAGTTGAGCCGACAGTAATAACAAGGATTTTTGCTTCCAAAGAAACGAACACTGCGCGAAAAGCCAAATATTCGGGCCCGAAGTCGCTCGAATACGGATCGGCGCAGGCCGCGTATACCGCAATGTTCTGCTGACTCGAGAAATACACCTGGAATATCCTATTAGAATCCGGCCTGTTTTTCTGTATTCAAATTGAATACTCGTAAATAACTCGAAGTGTTCGATATATCATACGGGCCACGTTTTGGTAGATTGATGTTGCATTAGATGTTCTTCGAGGATAAAGTGACCATTTATGACTCGAAAATTTTCGAATACTCTCAATTGTTCAAGAGTTTGCGACTGGAACACGAGATGCATGACGCCACTTCTGACGTGAACGTCTTCGAATACTAATGGCTACTACCCTAGTTCCTGAGGTTTTTCTCGATATTTCTTCTTTTCGCGAAGCGGCGAATCGCTTCGCGACTCGTGTTCGCCGCTTAGCGGCTGCTCGCAGCTCTCTTATGCGGAGAAAAATCAAACTTCTTCAAGAGCAGGCTATATGGTGTTACATCACTCATTTAGCAGTATAGTTAAAATACAAGAATAATTTGCGTGGATTTATACGAAGCAAGCTTCCCATTTGCTCAGACAAAGACTCCGCCATGTGACCCATATCTTGTTTCACTTTCGAGTGTATCGTATTTCTTCAAAAGGTTTTTTTGTATACCGGGCGCTTACCTAATTTATAAAATGCTTATCCTAGCGTCACCCTTTTATACGTGCACGCACTTTACTTTTCAGATTTAAAAAGCCTCGCGTTAGATGTACACGTGTACAAAGCGAATATGTAGCCGCCTTTTAAATTTTAGTCTTACCTGAAAATCAGCGGACGTTGTAATTACTCATGCATCTAACCTTTGAATTCCCTGTTATGTTCTCAGTTCGGGTTCTTCGATTCTTCCAGGGTTGTAAATAGCTCCGCAACTGAGCAATTGAGAATATGTGAACAATAGCCACCGGATCAACGAAAATAAAAATTTACTACGATTATCAGTTGAGTAAGGCGGGGCGAAAGTTTGGTCACCAAGTTTTAATGTAAAATCGTGTTGTTGTCACGGGCAACTTACCTCGTTTCCGTTGGTAACAATATCAACAGCCGTTGGTCGCCTGTCGCGTCGCCTACAATTTCNTGCTTTCCAAGAACTCAATATCGACGAGATTTCCGGGAATCACGACGCGTCACGCTTGATCACGCATAGTCGACTGGCATTATCACGCTGGGAAATACAGGTAATAAAATGATTCAGAATGACACATTAAATCGGCAAATATGCATTAATGGTTGCTTACACTGTGGTTTCCTTCTAAACAAGTGTTGCAGAGGTACAGGCAGTATGTGTGAAATGTCACGAGAGGAGCTCCACTGTTGATAAAGAAATTATTCCACGTGCTGCGATAAGGCACCTGCTGTGAGTAAAACAAAAAAAAAAACAAAAAAAAAATAGAGCACCAATTGCAACGACTCAAAGAAAAGGCAAATCATTGCAAACATTCGTCATAATTGCACATAATCAGTGCTGGAAATTAGCGCTCGCCCGCTTGCCAATGCGAGTGTTAAAATTGTCGAGCGAGTACAAATCATCGATCACTCGTTCGTTTATCGAGTAGCTTAAATATTGATAACACTCATTTTTCTTTTCCATTTGGCAAGAATATCTCTAAAGGAGAACTTGCCAGTGCTTTTTTTCTTATTTTATCAGTTCCGAGATGCCCAAATAATTTACCATTACTACGCAAAATAATGTTTCAAAACTAGACAAAATGAAATACGGCTTCCTCCAGTGATAATTAAATAACGGGTACACGTGTGCGAAGTGATACTGCTGGTCTCTAGTTAAGCCGACGGAAAAAGAAAATAATCTAACGAAGATTTATCTGAAATAGAAACTGCTTCGAAAGTTAAAGTAC